TTCCTGAACGCAGCCCGAAACGCAGAGCATGTGCAAATGTTTCTTTATAATAAATCAAACTATGTGCACATATCATCAAATCAATTCCTGTTCACTTTTGTTTCCATAACATCCACAGAGGAACCCATTGCACTGATATAGTGTCACCATTTTTAAGAAAAATGGATACTGTTCCACCATAGCTTCTATGTCAGTTTTAATGTTTAAATCATGCGTTAACCGGTATATACCTATATATATATTAAATTAAGGCTTTGTACATTTTTTAACTTTTATAAGAAATATTTATTTTGTTGTTGAGAACATCTGTTGGAATCTATTTCATTCATATTCGCTCAAAATCACAAATGCAAAAATCATGATAGAATGCGACGGTAAACATTTATGTCTATCTTACCACGATATTTTAACTGCTTAAAAATTAGGACCAATAGTCTGCCTGTTCTGTGATGATTGACACGATCTGCTTCAAGAATAATTACAATTATTAGAGTTTTGATATCTAACTTTTATAAATAAAACTGCGTGCATCTGTCTGATAGACGCGTTAAGCGAATTTACAACTTTGAAAAAAAAAATGTATTTCATTTTTGACAAAACTATATCTTACAGAGACAGAATGACGCCAGCCCTAGCGATACAGGTTCAAAGATGAGCAGCCACTGACACCGTTCAACAAAAGGCTTCACAACTTGCAGATTTCTTTTTTTTTTGTCCCGACATCAGCCTTGACCTCCCACAATGCCTCGCTCGTTCCTCGTCAAGAAATACCTCAAACAGAAATATGACGCAGACTTTCAGTTTCAGCAGAGCCTCATCAACCACAGCAGCCCCGGCGGCGGCGGCGACAGCACCGGCGGCGCCCCCGGCAACGACAAACCCGAGGCTGACGTCAAACCGCCGAAGATCGCCGACGCACACCTCCACGGTTGCGCGCCGATGACGTCATTCGCTGAGGGCGGAAGGGCGGCCGCGTGGAATTCTGACAGTGGTAAAGCCATGACGCCATTCACACCGAATCAAGTGCAGCCCTTGGCTGTGAGGCTCAGCAACGGTGAGTGATATCCTTACCGCATGTCGCTAGTCCGTCCGTTCAAAGTTATCGTATTTCAGTCTAGTATCTGCTCATCTCTTCGTATCCTGTAATCATAAAAGCTGTCCATTTTCTCGTCTTCCCTGTGTCACTTAATTTAACTTTCTGACACCGGCCGACATTTTCTAAGCATGCTATGTTTATAGTTAGGCTATATGTCTATAAAGAATAGCCACAGAAAAAAAACAACAACTCAAAACAGATCTTGAAAATCTTCTCTCCATTTCAATACAACAAAATTTCTTTTATAAATAGCCGCTAATTTGTATTGCGTTGTTCAAATCGCCCTTAAACACCAAGGCAACCGAGTGAATTAGCTTGAGAGCCTCTGTGTCACTACCCCATCGCACTTGAAGAGCTCAAAAAGTGGTTTTCTCCACGAGTTACTTCCTAGATGGTTTTGTAAGCGCTATAAATACTTTATCGAGTCGATACAATGTATTATTGCTAACAACAGGGATGCTCAAAGCATTGCACCAAGAAGTACCTGTTATAATTTAGAAATTTAAAACAAAAATCACATTTTGTATGCAAGCGTCCATTGAACTATAAATAGTTTCAACAAATGATGACCTGTCCCTAATGGTATGTTGCTGAATATTTAACTCATTCGACTACCATGATATTACTCCAGGAGGATTTGATGCAGGGAGTTGGTTTCAATGGAGAATAGTTTCACAATTTGCTCTAACGGTCCCACAAAGCTAGTATATATCGCTTGTCCCACAGTTAGTACCTGTCCCACACAGTCAGTACCTGGCCCTCATAGTAAGTACCTGGCCCACACAGTCAGTACCTATCCCATAGTCAGCACATGTCCCACACAGTCAGTACCTGTCCCACACAGTCAGTACCTGTCCAACAGTCAGTACCTGTCCAGTACCTGACACAGGCGGCTAGTGTCTGTCCCCCATTCAGTATCTGTACCTCAGTCAGTACCTGTCACCGAACGAGTACCCTTACCCATTCAGTACCTATCCCACACAATCAGTATATGTCCCCCAGTAAGTACCTGTCAGCACCTTCCCCACACAGTAAGTACCCTTCCCCCAGCAAGCACCTGTCCCACACAGTCAGTGCCTATCCTCCAGTAAGTACCCTTAAATTCCCCCAGTCAGCACCTGTCCCACACAGTCAGTGCCTAATCCCCGAGTCAGTACCTGTCGCACAGTTAGTACCCTTCCCCCAGTCAGCTCCTGTCGCACACAGTCAGTACCTGTCCCCCAGTAAGTACTCCCCCCCCCCAGCCCTCCCCTGTCCCACACACCCAGAATATGTCTCACACAGCGCGTTATACCTGTTGTCTCGTGAGACAGGACCTGCCCCGCCATGAGAGTCCTGCTCGTATCACCATGCGTGAGGGGACCAGGTTCATTAGCTAATAACGGAGTTATTCCTGGCCCCGCCTCCCTCCGAACCCGTCATCTGTATCCATTATCAGGGTCTGACAGCTCGTGCTCGCTCATTCTTGAGATGATTCTAGATCTAAATATAGCCCCAGCGGTGCGGAGACGGTGCTGCCGCCTGCTGTCGTCAGAGACGAGCCTCCCCATCGATCTTCGATGGTGACCAATTTTCTCAGTCACGAAGATAGGTGAGATAAATTTCACGAAAGAGATAAATGCGTTGAAGTTTTTTGGTTTTTTAAATATATGCCTCTGTTCCCTCCTCGGACTCCAATGTATGTGTTTACTGTTTTGTGTCTTTGCGCACCAAACTGCGCGCGGTAAATGTGTGTGGGTGACAGGAGACGCGCAGACCGTACCACGTGATTAGCTTACACCATACCTCCCCCCCCCCTTCTTTTTTTTCAATGCAGATTATCAATATATTTATGTTGAAGTAATATTAGCAACTACAGAAAAATTGACATTAAATGAAAAAAAAAATTATATCAATGTTAAACCTTGAAGGAAAGCGAAATGAATCGATGAATGAAAATACTGAAATAGAAATCCAACACAACCGTAGAGTCATCCACCAAAAGATGATTTATCTTAATTTAAAAAAAAAAAAAAAACAAAAAAGCTTTGGACTTGGGTTGACCAATCAAATTAAACTTCACCAGCACGTGACCCCCCCAGCGCCATTACGTCCAATCGATCGACGGCCTTCTGTCATGTGACATCCGGCTTCCCGCACGATCAGGATGGAAAGGTCTGCATCCTCCCTGCACCCGTCCCACCTCACGGTTTTTAAAAATAATTATTTTTACCTGTTTGCGTTGTCCATTGATCCTAATCCTGAGTTCTGACAGGGCCCCTGACAGGGCCCCAAGTGAAAACGTAGTACTCCCCCATGCCAGTCACACACACACACACAACCTGTTGAACCATCCCAGCCAGGCTCTGGAAGCAGGTAGTGAGTCATCAAAATTAATCACAGATCCAATGAGACATTCTAATTGATCACCATGTAGAGAGTAAAGGGGGGAGGGTGGGGAGTCCTGACGCAAAGGACAAGAGGGGAGTGGGGGGGGGAGGTGGGTTATTGATTGGCGTGTACCGGCTCTCCTGGCCCTAATGCCACAATCAAGCTAAATATAAAAGCACGGTCGATGGCAATAGATTGCCTAAGTTTGTTGAACGCTGGATGAGTCACTGCAAGGTTGACGTGCTGTTTTCGGGCCAGAAAAAGCCTTAAACTATTTTTAAAAATTACGCAAATATACATTAATGGTCTCTAAAATGCAACATCTTTCCAGATTCTATCTCTCCTTCCTCTTTATCATTTTATCTATCTCAATCTCTATTTTCTTTTACTAGCATGATGACATTTCCATTTCTTATTTCCTTTTATAGGTTATATTCTTGACGTCACTTCCTCAACACCCATTCAAAATGGAGGCGACGCGGAGAGCAGCCACGTGGTGGCCAGGACACCGAAGCACGAAAGTGAATCTGCGGCCAGGGAGAACCAGATGCCCAGAAGAAGTGTCATCGTCACCAACAGCAACCACCCGGCCAACAGGCTTCTGCAGGCCAACGGCGAAAACTTCGGAAACAGCAACGACGACGCTAACGGTTACAGTTCGCCCAACGGTTCTCATTTCAACAACAGATACGCGTCCACTGTCAACGCTTTTCACTACAAGAGTTCATTCCCAGACGCGCAGCCTCTGGCGCTGGACAGGCCACGTGCCGCCCACATGCCCTCACCCCCTCCGGCTCACACCCCTGTCCAGAGTCCGCCCCCAGCTCATACCGCCGTGCCGACCCCCGCGCACACGTCCATCCTCTCGCACACCCTCATTCCCTCTCACGTCCCTTCCCCGGCGCACGCCCCTTCCCTTGCTCACATATCGAGAAGCAGTCACTCCCCTACACCGGCCCACCTGAACCTCTCCCGACCCTCACCCCGACCTGACGTCTTACCGGCCGACCACCCCATCCACCACCCCCTCATCCAGCATCTCATCAGCCAACGACTTCACGTCCCGGAAGATGATCGCCACTACGAAGAGGAGAAGCGGTGTACACCAGTCGATCACTCCACACGCAGCCCGCCCCACAGTCCTCACGAAACCGAAAGTCTATACTACAGCAACGAGTACCAGCGTTTTACCTTCAACGCCGCCAGCACCTACCACGACAACGGCATGGAGTCTTCAGATGACGATGCTCACCTCAGACACGACCTCGACAGACACACGATTGCCAGGTCCCTCCCCAGCCACCATCCCATCCACACCAGCCACCTCCCACCCTCACCGAGCCCGTCCTTGCCCTCCTCCTCACCAACCCTCCCCGTCGTCATCTCGACGTTTTCCTCCCATGCCTCAGCCCCACCTTCCCCGGCGCCTTCCCTGCCCCCAGGATCTCCACATCCCGCGGGCGAGGTCAACGCCTACACGTACGAGGCTTTCCTGGTCAGCGACGGCCGGTCAAGGAAGCGATCCCTCGACGGCATGGACGACGGAGGCAAGGTCAGGTACACCTGCTCAGAGTGCGGCAAAGACTACGCCACGTCTTCCAACCTGTCCAGACACAAGCAGACGCACCGCTCCCTGGACAGCAAAAGTGCCAAGAAGTGCCCGCACTGCGATAAGGTCTACGTCAGCATGCCCGCTCTCTCCATGCACGTGCTGACCCACGACCTCAAACACTCCTGCCACGTCTGCGGCAAGACGTTCAGCCGGCCCTGGCTCCTGCAGGGCCACATGAGGTCCCACACCGGGGAGAAACCTTTCGGATGCGCCCATTGCGGCAAGGCGTTTGCCGACCGGTCGAACCTTCGAGCTCACATGCAGACCCACTCGGCGTTCAAACATTACGCGTGCAACAAGTGCAACAAGACCTTCGCCCTCAAGTCCTACCTTAACAAGCACCTGGAGTCGGCCTGCGTCAAAGAGTAAGACATCCATGGTTTTAGGGTGGGGCGGGGGGGGGGGGAATCTATCTAGTCTCATGATGAACCTTAACCACATGGCAATATCAGATCAGAGTGGTCCAGATTGGAATCGAGTGGTCCAGATTGGAATCGAGTGGTCCAGATTGGAATCGAGTTTTGTTCTGTCTCAATTGCGTCCGAAACCCCCGTCCATTTTTCAAAACATTTCAAAGAAAATTGTTGAATCTACATCAACATCATCATCGCTGTGCTTCAGCTGCCCACACGTTAGGGGACACAGTGGCTGGGCAGTTGCCCCTTTTTTCCTGCTGATGCTCTGAATTATTTTATTAACTTCTAAAGACTTTCTGGGCAGCAGATTTTTTGGGCATTGACAAACAAAAAATTATATCATCAGATACAACAAAAACCATTTGTAAACAAATGAACAATTGACCAGCAACGAACACGTTTCATCCCGAGAAAGTTCAAGTTGCACAGTGCCGCACCAAGACATCAGGAGGTCCCCGCAGAGATCATCTCAGCAGGTGACAAGGTGAAGGACGCCAGTTCTAAACGGTAGTAAACTGTCACGAATGTTGAGAAATTGTTTGTCTGCGTTCATGCCTCGGGTTCATTGTCATCTTGTTTATAGTTTACTTTTTAAATTACCCTTTTCAAAAAAAAAAAAATGCCACCATTATATCAAAACATATCACTATTTTTTTTTCCTCTTCTTCTATGTACAGATATATCATCAATTTTACCAAACATCAATATTACCAATGACTCTTTTTACAATTTATATGCATGACATCTTTTCTCCGTGCCCCGTTATACATTTTTTATATGACGCAATTATTCTGTCTACTTAATGAAACTGTTATCTCATGATCAGCCAACTACGCTCTATACTGTTTGATGGTGCATTATTTACAAGTCGTCTATTATTTTAACTACTTTTGACATTTTATTTATTTAGTTAATAATTATTTGTTTAGAGGGTAAGTATATTTTAAAATGTCCTATTGCATATCGTGCCTGGTGAGAACATTGTTGAAAACCTATATGGGTGGACATGAAGAGAAGACATGCAAGATTGTTCCGTATCTTGGGAGTCACATATTATCATAACATAGGCAGCCTGTTAAACTTTTTATGAACATAGCTCTTTCCAACGTGAAACTTAATCTTCGAATATTTATTATCGTATTTATTGCATTGTGTGCATTTTTTTTTTTTAAAGAAAGAAAGCATAATAATAATATTAATGATCGAGGGCGATCGTAAAAAGTATACTTTTATACTTAAAACAAGGATTTTTTTAATGTCTCGGCACGAAACGAAACAAAAAATTTTGAGAATTGCACAACAAAGTTCTTTTTTTAGCACCCGCGCGGTGCTATTTTGTTGACATATCGTGATTTAGAGACTACTTGATTGGCGTCACAAAAATTCTTCGATTTCCAGTAAACACACAACTGTACTTAAACAAATAACAAGACAAGCGGAAGATTACGGTCGTCTCTTCCCCTCCTCCTCTTCCCTACCACCCCCCCCCTTCAAAATGCGCCAGGAAGATGTTTAAAAGACATGCGCAATGCGTTACTTTTGGACGGTTCCACTTTTCACTTTTTTTTTTTAAAGGACAGCGGCCATTATACGACATGGTAGGTTCGAAGAGTATTGCGCGCGGTGGCTCAGAGAGGCGGTGCCAATAATGGCGATCACGATCCGAATATTGATGAGCCGATGAGACATATGTTTTGCTTAACTCCCCCCCCCATCCCACCCCCTCGCCCCCTTGCTTCCTTTGATTAGCGAGCGACCTTTCGGCGTATTGACGTCGGTACCAGTTATTTTCTAGATAAAATGATAACCGCTTGTATCGATCAATCGAAAAGTAACGACTTTGACTTAGGCTTTGCTTTCTTTCCTTTTTTATTCCATCTATAATTAGTTGGTTTTTTTTCAAAAGGGATGTCACAAACAGATACTGCCGGCCGCACGTGAATCGATAATGTCAATAGCCTTCCTACTAATGGTATATGCGTGCGCGAAATTCTAAAAATAAACACAGCAGGGGGGGAGGGGGCTGGAAATAGTTTGTGCCAGACTTTTTTTTTTAAATTGTGACACGGTATTAGAATTATGGACATTCACTCGTTCACACAGCACGCCCCATGCACAAAAATAAGCCTCAGTACTACTCCTTCACCCAAGTAGGCGAAATGCTATTCACTCACCCAAGTACAACTCCACTCACTCACCCAAGTACAACATCACTTACTCACCCAATTACAACCCCCACTCACTCACCCATGTACAGCATCACTCACACACCCATGTACAACATCACTCACACACCCATGTACAACATCACTCACACACCCATGTACAACATCACTCACTCACCCATGTACAACATCACTTACTCACCCAATTACAACCCCCACTCACTCACCCATGTACAGCATCACTCACACACCCATGTACAACATCACTTACTCACCCAATTACAACCCCCACTCACTCACCCATGTACAGCATCACTCACACACCCATGTACAACATCACTCACTCACCCATGTACAGCATCACTCACACACCCATGTACAACATCACTCACTCACCCATGTACAACATCACTCACTCACCCATGTACAGCATCACTCACACACCCAAGTACGACATCACTCACTCACCCATGTACAACATCACTTACTCACCCAAGTACATCATCACTCACTCACCCATGTAGGACCCAAATCACTCACCCAAGTACAACGTCACTCACTCACCCTAGTAAAAGCTCACTCACTCACCCAAATACAACCCCACTCACACGCACATACGTGTCCATCCCCCACTGACGCTGGTACAGCTCCCCCACGTCAATACAGCAAGATGGCACAACAGATGTGAGAGTAATTCAAACCTATTTCTGGATGCAGCGAGGACTGTCTCAATTATATACAATACATAGTGGTTAGCGGAGCCGAAATGCTTTCCCAGCCCGCCCCCCGGGGTTGGTTTGTGGGCAGGTGGGGGAGGGGGGCTAGTTGCTCTGCTTGAAGCGGAAATTCAGACATTTTTTAGTGGCGTAAACTGAAGAGGGCTTCATCAGTACCTCCGGAACCGACTCTGCTAGCGACGGAAAATTGGTTGACTTTGAATTTGTAATAGATACCAATTTAATAAAAGAAAAAAAGATTGATCATGAAATAGACTAATTATTTGTGCCTGCTTGGAAAAAAGCATTTAAAAAAAAAAAATAATAATAAAAATTATTGGCTGAGAATACTAGAAGTAGGTATACAATCGTGGGGGAAAAAAAGAGGTCTCGTAGTGCGCTCGCCTTGTTGCCAGTTAGAACATTTATATTTATGAGTGGGAAAAACAACACCACCACGATGACGTCACATGTGCCTATTGATAAACCTTCATTCATAGCGTTGTGAACCTGTATTATAGCCTCAGAAATTCAATCTTTCATCGTCCACCTTATTTTATTTTTTTTATGCAATGCATGCATGCACGACAACGCTTCTGTGTCGAACACTATTTTCTTCCATGGGGGTTTTTACTGTGCAAATATTCAAAGCAAACACTGGCGTTCTTTTTTTAAGTTACCGGTACAAAAACAAAAATAAACAAAAAAAAAAAAAAAAAAAAAAATCCCATTTGAACGCATTTTAAAAATCTTTTACTTAGCAGAGGAACAAAATAATGTTACTACGGCACTTTTGATTATTAAAAACTTAGACAGAAGCAGTTTAAACAACAACAACAACAACAACAACAGCAACCGGTCAGGATTGGTATCCAAAAATGTCGAGTGTGAAAATTGAAACGATTTCAGTTGGCATTCAAAGAAAAGATGTCCACCGTTCATATCAGCAACTTTTCCCATTGAAAGCTATTTTGTTAAAGAGTATTTGTACATTATGACCTTGGAACTCTATGACATTTTTTCTATGTTTATCCATGTTGACTCTGCCTTGTCCCGTTTCTGACTTTCTCTATTCACATATTTTTTTCCCGTGCAATTTAAAAAAAAAAAAAAAAAAAAAAAAAAAATTTTTTTTATGTTTATCCATGTTGACTCTGCCTTGTCCCGTTTCTGACTTTCTCTATTCACATATTTTTTTCCCGTGCAATTTAAAAAAAAAAAAAAAAAAAAAAAAAAAATTACTAAATCTCTTTGCATTCCGCGTTTTATCATTCCACTAAACTGTTGTACCCGTTTCTGCACCTGGAACATATCCATTTTTTAAAAAAGAAAATGCCTTTATTAATTAAGTCATGCTCTACACTTGTTACAGCGAAAACATTTCTCTTCATTCCTACATTCTTTTTCTCCCTATATTATCTTGAGATGTGTACATTCATGGTGAAATATAACCCTGTTAATGTTTTGTCATTTCTTCATTTAGATAAGGTCATAGGTATTAAGAGAATTATTTTTTTGTTAATGTGCAATGGATGTGCGCCCAACGTGCTGCTCTTGTAAAAAACAAATTCTTTTAAAAAGTCACAATATTTTTTTTTTAAATTTCACATTTTCTTCGATAATTGGTATTGTTTCAACTTTAAACACTGGATTTATATTCAGTTTGAATGGTCAAACTAAGGCCAACATTCCTAAAAACCGATTTTGGTTTAAACAAGGAGCACAGTTACTTAAAAGCTAATGTTATGTATGCTTTTTTTAAAAAATTGTGTATATTGTGTATTAAAATATGCAGTAAATTAAATAATGAATTAATGTTTTGTATATAAATTGATAACTTAATGCCCCCCCCCCCCAATTGGGAAAGTTTTGGTCAAAGAAAACGGAATACCACGGGGGTTGTGTCGGGAACATGTGCAATAATCAAAGAACCCGCCCAATTATTTATTCGTTTTATTAATGTGTCATGTTTATTTCAACTTCTTACACTGCTAGAACACACTGCATTTATGTAAATAAATTTTTTTTTGATTTCCTCACTTTCTTTTTTATATTTGGTAACAAGAAATTGG